GGGCCTCTCTTCTGTTTTCCTGTAAAGACCCAGCCATCACGGGTCCTTCAGGAAGACATGTAATCACATGGCTTACCTAGCTTAAGACGCCAGCCCCGCTTTCCCTCCCCTGGGAGCAGGCCTGGGCTCCAGACAGTGACACCGTGACCTCGGAAATGAGAGTGTGTAAGGAAGGCGGTCCTGGAGCCACGGGGGACTCTGAAAACTGCACGTTCACCTCGGGAAGGCAAGTGTTCTGAATCGGCCAAAAGGAGGCTGGGGCTGAGGACAGTCCGAGCCCAATCCCACTGCCGGTTCCTCGGCTGAGCATGAGCTGAGGCGCGCCTGCTGTCCCGTGGCTCCAGTGACCGTGGTGGCGGCTGTCACTGTCCCCCTCTCAGAACCCACACAAGTGGTCTGCAGGCCTCCCCCCACGGCGACTACGTGGGAGACCCCTCACCGTGGGGCGCACACGCTGATGGTGCAGAAGCAGCAGGGGCTTTAGTGCTGGCATCTCCACACAGGCCAGCCAGCTCGCTGCCCCAGGGCCCTGGCATGTCCCCACCACACACTCACGGAAATCACATGCAGCCTAAGGACATCCTGAATTGTATTCAACCTCAACCCTGGGTCCTGGTCTCGGTTGTGTTCCGAGTGAAGAAATGGGAAGTGTGCACAGAGCCCCGGCCACCGGGGGAGGGCACACGCCACGGAGACGCAGGCCTGGGCACCTGCAGGCATCTTGTCAGAAAAGAACCAAGGGAGCCTGTCACCTCACGGAAAACGAACAGGAGTCCTTGCCCATGATAACACCTACACGTTTAAGAGAAAAATGACTATTTCAGAAGCTTTCTATCTTTTGGCAGCTTTCATGCTTAAAGACTTTTCTGATGAGAAAATGATTTTTTTAATTATAAAATGAAATGTCAACATGTGGACGTTCCGGGTAAATCAGTGAACCAGTATTTTCCCAATGACTGATGCAGATGCTCCAACATCCCACCTGGGCCAGAGACCCCAAGCACAGGACTATTTCCATGGAATGGAGCACGGGAGGCGTTCACTGACCGGTCAGATGCCACATCGCAGCTCACCTGGAGGCAATGCCACCAAAGATGAGCCCCAGGTATCCGGAGGCTGCTGGGGCATGTTTCTGTCCCCACGTCTGTGGGCGTCGGGCAGACGGGGCAGCTGGGCCGCTCCATCCAGGACACCAGACACCCAGATTTGCAACAATGCAAAACAATGCAAAACAATTCTACTCTCCTAAAACTCTGTTTTGGAAAATCATTCTTTTTCACACAAATGTGTTACCACATGGTAGGTTTCTTATTGATGATTCTAAATGAACGTAGTTAGCAAATCTTTAAAACATTATTTTAGTTCCTAACATAGGTAAATGTAGAGGAACCGCATATACACAGCTCTCGGGTGCTGAGCCTGGAGCAGGAAAGCACTCTGAGACGCAGCTGGAGAACCACGCTCCCACGTGTGGTCCTGGTGTGGGAGCAGGAACCCGTGGGGGTGCACGGACGCCGGCCGGCCGGGCGCTACAAGAGAAGCTTGCACCAGGCGCAGCGAGAGGTGTCCGCTCGGCCTCACGGGGGATGTTAAGGGGTTATTTGGGGTAACTCAGACTACGTGTTTTCTGCTTTTACCCACTGATTCTGGAAACAATCCTTGAGGCCACGTGACTCCTCACATACATGCAGTGAGAGACGCCCCAGTCGCTGCTCCAGGGGGGCCCTCTGCTTCCCTGGTGTGCACTTACTCACATGCACCAGGCTCTTCCTTTCTGTCCTCCCACCACCGTCTCAGCTCAGGCCCTGCGCTCTCAGTGACGCTTCCAGTGACGGCTCCTCCTGGGCCCTGCTCCCATCTTCTACCCACACCCACCTCCCCCGTCCCCAGTGCAGCACCCCGGCAGCCTCACGTTCAAGACCACGATCCGTGGCATCCTGTGGGAAGCCACCTTCTACCCTAAACCCCACTGAACAGGAGCAACTCTGTGCCCCACGTGCCTGGCCGGTATCTGATCGGGACAAGTGCTCAACAAACCCAAGGAATGAAGGAAGGCATGCCTGGCTGGCTCAGTCTGGCACACAACTCTTAATCTCAGGGTCGTGAGTTCGAGCCCCACGTTGGGCATGGAGCCTACTTAAAAAAAGAAAGGGAATGAAGGAACAGAGAACAGGCCAAGGCTCAGTCTAAACCAGCCTTTATTTTTGTTTTCTTCAGTCCATTTCCGGTGGCTAATCTCACAGTCGTGGCCTTTTCTCATCCTTGGAAAGGAAGCTGCCAGCTTCGGCACAAACGTGGGGACCATGACCAGGCCCAGGGGGCAGGCGAGCAGCCTGCTGTGCCCCCCGAGGCTGGCTGTGGTGCAGACACGGCAGGCAGGCGTCAGCAAGCAGGCGATGAAGGCGGTGGAGGAGATAGTCTCCACCGTGAGCGGCACCGGCAGGGAGATGCCAGCCAGCTGGCCCCAGCTAACAAGGCTTCCAAGCCGTGTGCACGCAGTGAGTGAGGGTTCCTGTGAGCTCATTTCGGAGAACTGGAGGCCACGGAAGAAGCTACGCCACTCACTCACTGATTTAACCACCCGACCACTGTTTCTTCTGGAAGGTGGTGGCACGTACTTGAGCGCTTCTGGGGCCACTGCGGACTGCCATGGGCGTGACATCGGCAGGGCCCTTCCAGGCCTTTCTCCTCCACCAGAGAGGGCACGCAGCCTGTCAGTGGCGGCTGGGATTTAAACCCACGCACTCTGGCTTCAGAGCCTGTGATCTCAGCTACTAAACCATGTTGCTGCTCAGTAAGACATTCTGAGGCTTTCCTTTCTCTTGGAAATCAGAAAAGGAGTAGAGATTAGGATGCAGAGGCTGTTCTTTCAGCGGCAGGCCTGGGTGTGCGGAGATGGCTGGAGGGCAGCTGGGGACGTGCAGGAAGGAGAGCCGCCCCAGGTCCTGGAGGAAAACTGACCTAGCTGGCAGGTCTGGGACTCGAGCATTGGAAGCGGGGCTCTCCTCACCCCTGCCCAGTGAAAGAGAAGGGGTTTTAAGCAGAGGGAGGGGGGGCTGGAAAGTCGCGTAAGGACAGCAGGATGCTCGGAATCTCACCGAGCTGACCAGGTTTTGAGAAACAGGACAGAAAGGCAAGGAAGAACAGAGAAGGGGGAGGTCCAAGGGTAGCAGCCAGGACTCAACGAGTCCAAAGGCAGATTTGGAAAGGGTTTCTCCTGAGCCAGGTGTGACAATGCCACTCAGTGCTGGGCTTGGGGACCAAACAGGTAGCAGGTAACCTGCCTGGCACAGCACTGGACACCCAGCAAGTGCCTGATACTCAACCCTCCACACTGTGTGACTCACAGCTCTGGTCCTTCTGGTTTACAATGAGACCTTAAACTGTTCCTGCTGGAACCAAAAACCTTTCAGGGAAAGACCAGCAGCAAGATGCTAGCAGGTACAGCTCGCAGGCACCTCCCAAGACTAGCCAGACACCTGCTCTTGCAGGTGTGCGCAGGGCTAGGTGAGAGGCCCCAGTCACCGTCTTCAGTGAAGCATACACGAACCAGCCTGCAGAACGCCCTCTTCCCGAGTACCTGGGGACAACAGTGCGTTTTAACTCCGGGTTGCTGGGGCTGAGAGCCCAGACACTCACCCTCCCCCCATCCTGGGGGTTGCAGGTCCCAGACGAAGGTGTGGGCAGGCTAGTCCCTGCTGAGGCCTCTCTATGTGGCCTGCAGACTGGCATCTTCCCATCTTCTCCCCATGTCCTCGTGTGGTCCTCCCTCGGTGCACATCTGTGCCTGATTTCCTCATGTCCCCGTCACTGGGATCAGGGTCCACCCTACTGACCTCACTTTAACTTAATCACCTCTTTAAAGACCCTCTCTCCAAATAGAGTCACATCTTGAGGTCCTGGGGGTCAGGATGGCAACATGTACATTTTCAGAGGGCAACTCAGCCCGAGAGCTCCCTTTCAAAACCGTGTAATCTTGGGATGCCTAGGTGGCTCAGTCGTTGAGCATCCGCCTTCGGCTCAGGTCACGATCTCAGGGTCCTGGGATCGAGCCCCGCATCGGGCTCCCTGCTCGGCGGAGAGCCTGCTTCTCCCTCTCCCACTCCCCCTGCTTGTGTTCCCTCTCTCACTGTCTCGCTGTCAAATAAATAAATAAATAAAATCTTTAAAAAAAACACAAAAAACAAAAAACCGTGTCATCTTATTTAAACAGCGGACCGCCGCCATGACCCCCCAGGCACCAGTGTGCCGCAAGCAGCCTTCCCAGGAGTCAGACTTTTGAGCTCTGAGGTTGGCGGTGTCCCAGCCCCGGTTCAGGGGTAGGCAGCACCGGAGGTGGACTGACCTGCTCAGGGGCTCCTAGCCACAATACCCAGGACCAGGATTTGAACCAGGCAGCCTCCCCCAGACCCCAGAATTCTCAGACCCCGTTCTTGCTGGAGAGCAGCCGTGCAGGGACAGGTGGGCCTCAGGTTAGGCAAGCGCCTTGCTCTCCCCCACGTGAGGACAGGTAACTGCCAGCCTTCCCTGGAGCAGGCTTAGGAATCCACGTCTCCCTGCTCCTTGTCTTCAGCACCTTCCCCTGGCTTCCCCCACACACATGCCTCACGATGCACCTCATGCATCCCCAAGACTAACCCCAAAGCATAAATAAATAAAACACGCATTAAAAACCTGTACATATGGGCACCTGGGTGGCACAGTTGGTTGAGCATCTGCCTTCGGCTCAGGTCATGATCCCAGCGTCCTGGGATTGAGTCCTGCATCGGGCTCCCCACTCAGTGGGGAGTCAGCTTCTCCCTCTGCCCTTCTCCCCTCTCATGCTCTCAATCTGTCTCTCTCTCTCAAATAAATAAAATCATAAAAAAACCAATAAAATGAAAATAAAAACCTGTACATGAAGTCCTGTCGTGTCCTCTCTCTGCTGATGGAGGAGGGCAGACAGTGAGCACCTGCTCCGTGCCCGGCACACCCCCCCTTAGCAGCCCCGATGAACAGGGCTCAGGAGGAAACGGGAGCACCCAGCGGCCAGAGGGAGAGTGGAGATGCAAACTTGACCGCTCTGCCTGCGTCATGGTGGACATGAGCCCTATGAGCGGAGTCCCACAGTTTTGAGAAAAACACCAGTAATCTCAAAGGGAAGAGCTGGGACCGTGCAGACAAGACAGGGGTAGGCTCAGACCACGGTGCACGCAGACGCCATTCCTCCTGAGCCCCTGTTGGTGGGTCAGACCCTGGCATGGACCGCGACGTGGAGGGCCCCACACTCGGGTGAATGCTCCGCCGGGCTCATCTCAAAATTCTTCCTACTTTTTGGACAGGGGACCCACACTTTAAACTTGCACGGAGCCCTGCAGTGACATGGCTGGTCCTGCATCCGAGGACAGGTGACGAGGACACGGATAGTCAGATGACTCCAGACGGAGGGAGCCCAGCGCTCCTTAGTGACATGCCCCACTGTCACCTCGGCTCTGTCAGCACGGAGCTGCATGCCATGCTCCAGGTTTATGCCTCATTCAAAAAGCTCATTTTGGTTCAGAACTCAAAGGGCAAATATTTTTAGACGAGCTGGTCAGCAAAGACAGTGTCTGTGATCCTGACATGATGAGCATGTTAGTTGTCTTCTGACATCAGGGGGAACCCACTCAGGTCAATCAATCTAACATAGTTACCAGACCCCTCAGTTCATAACCACCCACCTGGTGGCTCACACACATGAAATCATGGCATCACTAGGCAGCCGTACTGAGCGGTGACTGGCATACAACCAAGTGCACATACGTGAGTGTGTGAGCCGATGAGTCAGGACACCTGCACACACATGTAAGGCCGTGGTCTGATCCATGTGACAGACACACCCAGGCAGCCGCCTCCTGCCCCCGTCTGTCTCCCCCAGCCCAGCCCCGTCCCAGGCAACCACGCAGCTGCCTTCTGTCACACAGGTCGGTTGCTGGCACTTTCTAGAATTCTTAGGAGCAGAATCTGCCACAATTGTTTACCCATCTCGTCTCCTCAGTCCTGACCCCAAGGCCTCAACACGTCATGTGTTCTTCCCATAGACTTCTCGAGGCCTCAGATTCCCTTTGCTGACCCTCCGATGCTGGTCCAGAACTTTCATTATAGACCACCACAGTCTGTGTTATAGAGATGACCGATGTCACAGACCATGCCTACAGAGGATACAGATGTCATAGTCCAGACAACAGACGACACGGACCGTCCTGGCCTACAGATGACACAGATTGTCATGGTCTAGAGAGGACAGACACGGGCTGTCACGGTTAACAGATGACAGACGACACGGACCGTCCTGGCCTACAGATGACACAGATTGTAATGGTCTATAGATGACAGACATGGGCTGTCACAGTTGACAGATGACATAGGCCATCCTGGTCTACGGAAGACACAGGTGACACAGACCATCATGGTCTAGAGACGACGGACGCAGGCTGTCAGGGTTGACAGACGACACGCTATCACAGTCTATAGATGACAGATGTCACCATCTAGGCTGCAGCAGACAACAGAGGTTACAGACTACCGTGACAACCTTTTAGGGGTCTCCCTGCTCCAACTCATCCATGTGACCCATGACCTTTGCTCAAGATACAGTTACAATCATGTCATCCTCCAGACTGAAAGCCAGACCTTTCTCTGGTCTGTGGGGCCTGAGCACTCACACCACCTCCAGCAACGCTCTAGGAGTTGTCTCCTCTCCACAGGCAGGCTGTGAAGCTCCCAAGGACAGGGCTCCCTCCTGCCTCACCTGGCATCATGCCCTGCTGGAGGGGCCCCAGGAAGGCGTCACGAATGAAGAGAGAGGAGCATATGTGACTTCGACAGAGCTTAGAAGACAATCATAGGCTTCAGAGCCTTCATTTTGTGATGATGAGAAAGTCACACAGCTGCTTTCTGAAGAGGGACAGAATGAAGGACAGTTTTGGAAGTTGGAAAAGGTGCAGGCTGGGGGTGACCTCGTGCCAGGCCAGTTTTTAATTGCTTCTTGTTCCATCTCTGCCACAAGCCCCGCTACCTCTCACCTTCTTGTGATGTCGGCAGGTGCCTGGCGTCTGAAAATGCTGGGCTCTAGCCAAGGTGGCCCTGGATCCACAACACGGAATCCTCCCTGTAAAGGAGAGAGCGCGGCCCTTAGAGACGTAACTGTGTGTGAGAAGAGCGAGGCTCAGAAGCCACACAGTGCCACCAGCGACAGGACCACAACAGTAGCAGGGCCCACCCGCCAACTTGCATTCTGGTGAGCAGACCCCGGAGGGACGGTGGCCCCAAGGATTTCAGAGAACTGGTCAGGATCTCACAGTGAGTGGTGGAGGCTGGGGGATGCTTCAAATGACTGCATGACCTGTGCTCAGTGTACCCATCGTTCCTTAATGAACAGGAAAACTTTACAAAGAAACAGTGGTGCTGGGAGAAGAAAGAGACGTCAGGAAGGGGGTGCTGGTGTCCCCTGCAGCAATCATGGGGCAAGGTCCAGCCCCTTCTCCCCTGAACACGGGCTCCTGAAGGTCTCCGGGATGCCAGGAACGCTTGTACCAGATCTGTCCCAGCCAGCCCCCAGCTCTGGACACTCTGCCTCAGATCCATTTCTCTAGATGGGAATGCTTGGTGAGCTGGGGCGGGTTCTCAGGGTAATTAAAGGACACCAAGCATACCTCACTGATCTGCCTAGCAATTGGTGTTTAAGACAACAGTCTATCAGGGGTGCCTGGGTGGCTCAGTCGTTAAGCGTCTGCCTTCGGCTCAGGTCATGATCCCAGGGTCCTGGGATCGAGCCCCGCATCGGGCTCCCT